AATGTAGCTCTCTCCCGCTCAGACTGAGTCGGGCGAGGGGCATACCTGGCAGCGCGAGGAATTGCAGGTTGTGAGAGGCCTGGCTGGCGGCGGCGTTCGGACTGAACATGCGGCTGTCACTTCAACCGGCTGCGCGTTCATCGTGATGAACCATGCCGCCATAATCCTTGGTGATCTGTAAACCACGACTTGCGTTGCAACGCTCACGACACTGGCCTCCGCACCTCATTTCAGTCCAGTGTCCGGATCCGTAACCTGTGTCGCGAGACCAAGGTTTGGCGATGGGACCGGCCGTGCCAGCAGCTCCGGCCGATCTGTGGTGCCGGTCTCGATCAAGCGTCCTGGACCTTCATGCCCGACCATACCTCTGGATGATCTCGCGGTGTCCTCGATGTGGCTCCGAGCCTCCTGCGACGCGAGCCAACGTGAGCAGCCATGTTCTTGTCCCTTGCAGGATCATGCAAGTTCTTCAAGTCGACCTGCAAAACAAAGGCTGTTCGAATCGAGATCCCTTCGACGCGTTCAGAAGATTTGCTGCGCCATTGTCGATTGCGGCTTGCGCCTCCTTGTGATCACGAGGTCGCAAGCCTATACATATATGCCTATATTCAAAGGCATTCATGGCGTCGCTACCCGACCCCTGTAGCAACACCGAAACTTTTGATGATATGTCGGCGCACTCTGGAAGTCATGGGTGGCATCAACCAATCCCCCAGTCAACACAACCATCAAAAGACCTGTCTTGCTGCAACGAAAGGTAGACCTCCAATGGATGGTTCCATTATTTTGATATTGATAAGTCCTTCGCTAGGCCTACGTGGGGCTGTGCATGAAAGGGCAGAAGCATCGGCGAGCGACCCTCTTGGAGCTGGTGCGATTCAAGGATACCTCGGATTGGATCCTGGTTGTCTTGCGTGCATATTCTCTGATTAATGCAAAACTCTGCGCCGAGACCTGAGAAAACCTTGCCTTTTGTTGATGCCCAGCCTACCTCATAGCCTGATTTAGTTTCTTGACTTTGGCCTCTGCTTTCTCCATCCAGTATTGGCTATGGCAGGTGCTGTCGCAACCCTCGTCCAAAATGGTGTGTATGTTGGGGTCGCTATCGTTCCACATGTCTCTGAGAAACTGTGGGGGTACGCCAACCCGTCACTCATCAAGGCCTGGAACGCACTGGTTTCAACGGCAGCGTAACCGAAGTTTTCGGGGTCCCGAAGGCCCCGGGCAATCTCATCACCGAGCGGGTCCTGCTCCAGCAAGATCTGGTCTTGGAACGCGGCTTCTTGCAGTAGCTCATGAAGTCGGGTCTGAGTCATTGAATCGGGCGACGACGAGCGTTCCGTTTCGACCAAGCCACTGAAGACGCCGAGGGCTCAAAACATCTTGGTCATTTCTCGCGATGGCTTCAATGATGCTCACTTTGTCTTGGGTCGTGTTCTCAACAGCTTTTGCCAAGGCAACTCGTTCACGACTTTGTTCAATATTGGCGGTTCAATGAACGAACAACTTTGCTTGCGCCAAACACTATGAGTCGACCGGCTTGATCTTGATCCCCTATCGGTGGATCCATGCGGACACTCTTCAGAGTTATGCTGAGTATTCTCTCTTCTCGGCGTTGGAACGCCAACAACGCAAAAACATGTGCGATGAATCGTGTATCCCGTGCTCCCTCAGCTCGAGAACTCCTGGCAGTTCTGGCACTTCTGAGGCAATGGAGGATAAGGCGGGGCGCCTTTGCTGAACCCTTCTTGGTACTACCGGGCAACACGGGTGGCGGTTGAAGAGGTTCATCGCGAAGGTAAGTCTCACCACCCCTGAACTCAAATAATTGGTCAACCCATTGCGCATACTGCTGAATACCGGAGCGCGAGATGATTCCTTGTTTGCCCAAAAGTAGAATTGAGGTTGCCTATGCAAAACGCCCCAATTTCCATAGGTTTTCCTGTTGATTGTCCAATCTGAAACACAGTGTCAAATCCCATGGGGCGCTCGACTTACGACGGTGTCGCACGAGTCCCTGAGTCGGACGATGTGGCATCGTTTGCGCGAACCATGGGCGACTGCGCCTGCGACGGACGGGGACGTGGGCCCTTGCCCGACGTGCCGGGGCGGAAGGCCATCACGGCGGCATTGGCGTGCTCTGGTGAGATGGCAGCTGTGATGTACACAAACTCTTCATCTTCTGATGATCCACTCTCATAACCTAGATTCGCAACAGGTGTGCTGGATTCGCAACAGGCGTGCTGGACGGGGTTTGAGGCTTGTTTGCAAACTTGCAACCAGGGTCACCAGCTCAATGTCCAATGCCTCCGCAACGAAGACACTTTGACTTGGACTTCAACTCACGAAGCTTGGCGCGGCGTTGCTCAATGCTCATCTGGCTACGGACAACCTTGCCTTTGCCTTTAAGAACTTTCTTGCCAAAACCTTTACCTTTGCCTTTGGCCTTGCCGAACGCATTGAACGCAGCGAGCTGGAGTTGGATGGCTTCACGTGCTTGACGATCGTCGGCCTCTTCCAGGTCCAACATTGCGTTCGAGGAAGTTCAAGGCAAGTGCTTCTTCTTCATCTTCAAGATAATCGAAGTTCTGCTCCGGCTCCTCTTCTTCATCGACCCCATCTCCCAACCAGGCGTGGGAGTCGCCTTCATCGAAGTTGGTCTCGAATGTCTCTTCCATGGTTTCCCATGTCGACGACGAACACTCATCCGCATCAGGGTATGATACATAGGCGGAACGACAGCTTGATTTGCCCTTTCCTGGTCCTCACCAATGCGGGTTCTGAGAACTCTTGCCCTTCCTAGACATAGGCGCAGAGCGTCCTTTCCATGTCTTGCCACCTTCGGAGGTGGACGCCTGCTTATAGTGATCGATGAGAACTTTGCCATACCCATCGAAGTTCTTGGGTGTGGCGCAGGCTTGGGTGACAAGGATCTCTTGGCGTGACAAACCAGACAGTTCAAGCAACAATTCGGTGCGAAGACTGTGGTCGAATCCAAATCACGCTTGCGCCGGTGAGGGAAAAACAACTTGGATTCTCCCCTCTGGCGGGCCAAGGGGCCTCCGTGCCTTTGTCCAGCGCGGAACAAGTCTTTCGCCTCCTTGGTGGCGCGTGGAGGCTTTCATCTTTTGCAGCAGCTCTTCCAATCCCTCGGCGTTGGTCAGGGCATCAAGTTCGACATCCCTAGCCAATAAGAAGGCATCTCCACACAATCCCTCAAGGATCGATGTTCTCCTCCTCACCTTCTTCTTCTTCACTGTCAACTGAGGTCCTCATCGTACCTCCATTCAGGATATCTTTGGTTCGCTTCTTCTTCGACGATGGGGACGACGACGGGGCGCTTTTCCGGGAGCTTGCTTTCGGCTTGTTGTTCTCTTACCACAGGCGAAGGCGAAGGCATGTGCGAAACTCCCAATCATGGAGTGATGCAGCGTTTCCATAGTAGATGTACGAACCAGATTTGGTCTCCAAATGAATACCTCCTGAGTTCTTGTAGGGATTGAAGCGAAGTCCAACGACCGACATGACGTCTGGCCTCGACAGATTCCCCTTGAATGAGGAGCTGGCTGTGGATTTTCATTTCAAAAAATCGGCGCAATAAAAGGTATAACGGTATAACCACCTAAAAATCACTATCAAAAGGTTAAACCGCTGGATTCATAGAACGTCAAGACGCTACACGCCAACTTCAGCATGGCGGAGCCCGCTGCTTATAGAATGTATTGACCCTCTACGAAAACATTCAACCACTAAGGAAATATATTTATATACAATGCATTGACCCTCTCCCAGACCCTCTCAGCGGCCCTCACAGACAAAACAGCAGCCTGACAAAAAGATTCATGTGTTTTGCACATCGACAGAGTGAAAGCCTATACTGTTTATAAAGTATATTGAATCACAAAAAAAGGCAATCCATCGCTGGTGTCTGCTTCAGAATTTTGCGCTTTACAGAATGTATTGACCCTCTGATATATAATCCACTTCTCAAGGAACAGACCATTTATAAGTTGTGCGGACCCTCTGCTCCAAAACCTTCGTTTTATGATGGCCCTCCAGTTTGGGACTGGCAATTTCAAGAACACTCAGTTGCAAATTCTTGGCGTGAGTTGCTACGAACGAATCCTGGATCGGCTTTATGGGATTTTCCGGGATGCAGTGGGACGGAACAACGTGAACCTGCTCCGCTACCAGTGTGAAAGTGCACCCGATTTCGCCGTCCGATGCGCTTTTCTACGCGTGCGATAGCGCCGTCAGCTCAAGGGCCCTCTGAACCCAATTGGCAGCAAACAGAACTCGGCTATACAACGTCCATCAAACAGGGTAAATTCACACAGCCTATATATCCAATAAAATACAATGAGGTGAGCGAGGGAGCATGAAGAGATGAACACACAGTGACCTTTGATGAAGCAAGACAGGGAAGTTATTGGATGCGGTCGGTGAAGTACACTCACTGATAACCGAGACTCAAAGCATTCTGACATTAGCTGAGGGATTGGGAGAAATGATTGAGCAAGCAGTGAGAAGCAAGCTTGGTAAACTGGTAAGCCAAGTGAGAACGGAGAGTAGGAAAGGCGCTGCGAAAGCATGCAGGCTTGCGACTACTCACGCATCCAATGACAATGCAGTTTAAGTGGTTTGTGTGTGTGTGTGCGTGTGTTTAAATTTGCACTGTGCTCCTTGATGGTTTGACATACATCCGTTTCACTTGGGCGGAAGGAACCCTCTTGGTTGTGGAAAGAACCGCGCAAAACTGTCACGACAAGGGCATATATAGGTTTTTGCCGCCAAAACACATGCGGCAAAACACCATCGGTGTAAATTCAAGAGTGTAAATACTAATGACGCGCGCATCCTTGTGATTCGACTGCTTTTTAAATCATTTCTAGGCGACTACAACATAGAGTATATGTGGAAGCACAAATAGGAACAATACATATATATAGTATAATATACAGTATAGTATAGTATAACGTATATATATATATAGAGACACACTATAATACTATATAGAAGCATGGCGCGAGCTTTGTGCTGCGAACTTTTGCTCTGACGTGCCTCTCAAGGTCCTTCATGATGCGAACGTCGTTGTTCGTAACAAAATTGATGGCCACGCCCTTTCGACCTGACAGTGGACATCTGCATTCTGTGGATTGACAAACCTTGAGACAGACTTTTTTCATATTTTCTCTTTGGTCAACGAGTGGGCAAAATAGCAAACCTTTGGGACTTGACCCAATGGTCCAATGCACAAATCTGAACAAGTCCAAGCAATTAATCTGCTTCTGCGACTTGTTCTCTGCCGGATCTACAGTCTCTGCAAGCTTGAAGGGCCGCGTCTGCTGGGTCTGGCACCGAACCGACCGCTGCGACCAATTCGGTGCAGGTAGTTCTCCTGAGTTTGCGCAATCTGGCACATGCAATTTATTGTACAACCAATGCAAAGGTACATTGCATCTCTTCTTCTCTGCAACATTTGCACAGGGGGTGGCACGCAATTGCGATGCAGAGTGTTCTTTAGCTGCTGAAAACAACGTTTTGAGGCATTCCGGGCAGCAGGCCATGTTTGATGGAAGATCGTAATTAATCACCTCAGTACTGACTCAGTACAATGCAAAGCCAATGCAACGCAAGGAATGTACAGAACACAGCGAGGGTGAATTGTTATGATTTCTCATTGTCTATCTTCTGTTCGCGCGCACTCAATGAGCATATGCAAGAACATCAAGAAACGTCAATAACTTATTGGATTGTGTTTACACTACTTTGGAGAATCAGAAGAATGAGCGTTAGTGAACATCATAATCATGCTGCTCTCTTGTAAGGGCTGTTTTTACAAGGGCGATAAATAGAGATTTCAACTTGAAAGTCTTCTCCTTAGGCCTTAGGCGGTAGCATGTCCCACAGCTGATCTGAGGTGGACTTGTCCGCCTTTAAACATTGTGGAGACGAACCAATTTCAAGCTTTTCGTGGTGTCTCTGATAAATGGCTGTATTCAAAACCGGGACACCCTGGTTGACCACCAAGAATGAACAGAACAGACTACCTGGGAGATCAACCTACCCTGGTTTGGGGCTCTGGGTTTTGACCCACAGCCAAATTGCTGCATTTTGCTTTGGAGCAAATAGCAATCAACCCAGGTCAACTCTACATCACGAATCCTAACTTTCAAGCAACATTGGGATTGTGTATCGCGGTACGAATCAATTTGAGGCGTCTGGTGGCTAGGCGGCTTTGGTGGCGATCCTCGCACTAGTTGAAGCCCTGCGACAGCTTGAAAAAGAATTCATGGAGGTTTGGAGCTTTCTATGGGAGCCACAGCAAAGCTATCGCTCGAAGCCTTCAAACGACCACCCTTCAATCTAGGATAATCTAAAGAATCTGGTTGTGCCACCTCAGCTCAACCTTTGCTTTGGGGGGCCCGCTCCAACGATTGATCGGCCCAAAAGTGCTGACGAGTTGCCAAAGACACCTGATACAATCTTGCAAAGTATCTATAAATATGTAGACACACTTCGACATTGTTTTCAGTTAGCTCAATTGCCAGGTCAAAAATGGTGATAGAACGGCATGGTGAAAAGTCCGATGAGCTGAAGGTGTTTCAACAATGGTTTGGTGCACATCTGCAGAACTAACGTCAGCAACTCACGGCGGTTCAGTGGCTGAAAAGGTGGAGTTTGGGGAAGTATCATGAAGAACCATGAATCAAAAAAGCGGATTGGAACAGCTTGTGTAAGAGTTTCCGAGCAGGTACGTAGTTCTGGCGTCCCAGAACTATATCACTGTGCGACAGATGCGTCTTCGTTGGTTGGAGACATCTGAAGCACACTCCAACCCCTGCATGCAGAACCCTTCGAAACAGGGCTTGACACACACACGGTGCCGCTTGGCGGCGCTCGTGTGAGAAACCTGAATAGATACCTAAAAAGCGTTAGAAACGAAAGAAAGAAAGACAGAAAGAGCAGCGCTAAGAGGGCAAGAGAGAAAGATAGGTGTAGGAAAATGAAAAGGTGAATACTTAGCCCTTGACTGGGGTAGGGAAACGAACCTCAAGAACAACCTAAAAAGCCTGAAAGAAAGCCCGACAAACGACGAAAAACGCAAGAAGGAAAGCGGGGGGCAGGGAGGGGGTGTATGTCCATGTGTGTGTGTTTGAATACCTAGCACTCTAGAATTACTGAATACTTAGACGAAGTGAATTAGGTGCACTAGTTAGGGAGCGGGACTTTAGTCTTAAACCGCCCGGGTAGAGTAGACTAGAAAAGGGACAACAGAGGGAAAGGCACCGACACACAAGTGTGTCGAGTACCATTTCCCTATGTTACCCTAGTTAGGTAGGGAGTAGAACGCGGTGGGGGGGGGTTCAGGAGACTTGCCTCAAGAGGGGACAAAAACCCGTTTTTAAGCCCGGCAGCTCGCAAATTCGTTTTATAGCCCGACGGCTGTATGAGCAGTAAATTCAGGGTAGAGAAAGATCGATGAGAAAATCGATGAGAAAATCAATGAAAAACGAAGAGTCAGTAACTCAAATTCCAGTATGGAAACAGCGCCTCCTTGCGGAGGATCACACCCAGCACCCATGTGGGACGGCTGAGCGGTTCACACTTCGACATTGGTTTTCAGTTAGCTCAATTGCCAGGTCAAAAATGGTGATAGAACGGCATGGTGAAAAGTCCGATGAGTTGAAGGTGTTTCACCAATGGTTTGGTGCACATCTGCAGAACTAACGTCAGCAACTCACGGCGGTTCAGTGGCTGAAAAGGTGGAGGTTGGGGAAGTATCATGAAGAACCATGAATCAAAAAAGCGGATCGGAACAGCTTGTGCAAGAGTTTCCGAGCAGGTACGTAGTTCTGGCGTCCCAGAACTATATCACTGTGCGACAGATGCGCCTTCGTTGGTTGGAGACATCTGAAGCACACTCCAACCCCCTGCATGCAGAACCCTTCGAAACAGGGCTTGACACACACACACAGGGCATAAAGACATACATGTCTCGTGACCACGCGTGCGACCGAACGACCAAGGAGCAAAGAAGCTAACGCAGCTTTTCCTCGAAGGCCTAAAGTGCCATGGGGTTGAAACAGTCGTAGACTCAAGGGATCCGCTATTGGATCGACGGGGCCAGGTGCAACAGACATGTGGTGGATGAACGGTGCGGCGTGAGGCCAAAAGCACTGTCGGGTCCATCAGAAAAAAGTTCACACTGGAGTATTTTCTTTTCATCCACCAACATGACGTATGGTGCTTTCATCCAGCCCTGGAACGCAAGGCAGAGGTTGCGATCCTCTTTTGTGAGCACATCTGCCCACATCACTTCGGTTGGCACCCAGTGGCATTCATCCTCTTTGATGAAGTCCTGCGCTGATCTGATTGCGATCATAGTGCGTTTCTCACTGGTGCTCACATTAGGTGAAATCACAGCGTCATACAGACTTTTGCAGTCTGTGCACTGAGCCTGCCTCAGAGCTCTCAGTTGGAAAAGGTCTCCACGTCGAGGAGTCTTGCCGGTGCCACCGTAGAGCAGCTCAGAGACAAAGACATTGGCATAGGTGGCGCGGTCCACCGTTTCGTCCATGGCATTGGCCTCACTGGCCAGGGTCGAGCGAGTCACTCTCGGTGACCGGGCGCTCTTCCAGTCAAGAACGCTCACGGCGCTCTTCTGCTCCAAAGACTTTGGAGAACCAAAGAGAACCAAGCAGCCCATTTGGCTTTTGCCACCAGGGGCGTTTGCCCGTTTGCCCAGGACGAGTCGCCATAGCCGATGATGAGGGAGGCCTTGTTGAACGGGCTTGGGAAGAACGCCAAACCAAGGTCTGCAGTCTCCTTGGCCAGCTGAATGTACTCAAAAAGGGTCTTGAGGTCGCTGGGCTTGGTGTCTCGGCCTTTGTTGGCCAAAGAAACGGCCGAGCACAAATCGGGCCTTGTCTGCCCGCCCAACCACTGAAGGGATCCGGCCACAGACCGGAGCTCACGCCACTCGCTCTCATTCAGGCTCTCAGCGCTGAGGCGGCCACGAGCCAAGGTGCCACAGCTCATCTCCTCGATGAAGGCGCGCTGTGTCACTTTCAAGGTGATCTTGCCATTGGTCTTGACCACGCGGATTTCTTTTCCGCGGAAGATGATCTCGTTCTTTTCATCCAGCAGGGTGGTTGAACCCCAGGTGAACATCTGGCGTAGCTCTTCGACATCGTAGTCTGAGCGAAACGTCACCAGGAAGTCATCTACGTGCACAATCATGACCACTTGTAGAAGGCCTTTTGCATCACGTTTGATGAGGAGGCATTTGTCGTACCTGTGCTGGATGAAGTTCTTTTGGAGGCATGTTGTCAAGACATTCAGCCACCATGTACGTGGTGCGGATGCAAAGCCGTACAGGTTGCCCACAATCTCATAGAGCTCGCAAGGAAACGACTTTGCTGCTTGCTGAATCGCGTCACGTGGTGACCTCATGAACAAGGGCTCAGCTCGAGGTTCGGGTTGACCTTGTAGGAACGCGGCGCTAATGTCCCCGCACCAAAGGCTCCATGACATGTCTGTCATCTCGACGGCCTTGTTCATTCCTGAGCATGCTAGCTGGAGCAAGATCATCTCAGCCAACTTTGTTGGGGTAGGAGAGCTCCTATTCAGTGTGGCCAGGTCTGGGTCAAGACATCCGAGAACGACTGTTGCGGCATTTAGCCTTGATGGTCGGTCCTGCTGACCGGTTCTTGTCTCGGTAAGCATTCCTGGCTGGAATGATCCGGCGCTTCAGTGAGGGTGTGTTCTTGATCTCATGGATTCTCTCTTCACTCAAGGGTCGGATGCATGCCCAACTCAACCAACTCTCATACTCCTTGATGTTGGCGGCCACATACAGGTCAAAGATCTCTTTGGGGCCAGCAACAATCACACGCCACGGAATCTCCCGGTCCAACGCCTTCCTTTCCTGTCTGGAAAGGTGTTCCAGTGAAGAGCTCTTGCCAACATCCTCGTCATCTGAGGAGTCAGTAGGAAGATCTTCTGGTTCTCCCATGGAAGTGGCTGCAGCTCGGAACACGGTGCTGGGTGCTGGACTGCCATGAATGTTGTCCCATCCCATCCAGGAAGGACTCTCACCATTTCACAGCCCTCGTGCGGTAGTTCTTGCACGATGAAGGTGAAGTGGTCGACGATGTTGCTCTGGGACATTGTTGTTGGTCCAGAGCTTGAACCGGGAATGGGCACATCTTCAGCTGCAGGTTGTCCTTCAAGTGCCATTGGTGTTGCTTCTGCCTGTGGCGGCGGAGCATCACCTGGTGGTTGTGGAACATGTGGTTCGCTAGGTAGTGGCACTAGGTCTGCTGCTGCCGATGCTTCTGCTGTTGCTTGTTGTGTCATCTGCATGTGTCGCTGCCATTGGTATTGTCGCATGCTTTGTTCAGCCTGAGGAAATGGGACCAGCGAAGATGAAGGCTGTTCCAATCGAGGTCGAACATTCCTCGTGTCCTCGGCTGTGCCAAAATGCTGATGTATGTTCTGCCGAATGTTTTGTTTGAATGTAGGAGAGTACACCATGGGCTCAAGCGGCTGTTGTGCTGCTTGAGGTGGAACTGGAAGCATTGGTGGTTGTGGGGCTCTCTCCTGCTGTTCTGGCGCTCCAAGAAGGGGAGCTGGCTCTGGCAGTTCTATTAGAGGTTGCGCCATAGGCTCATCAACATGGACGTCCAGCGTCTCTTCTTCCGGAGGTCCAGGTCCTCGTTCATCACGCCATAGTCCATCAGTCAAAGCCAACTCTGCGGTCTTCAGGGCTTTCATGTCCTCGAGGCTCGGTGTCCATGACTCCATGCCATAGGCAGGCCTCAACTGTTCATAGGTGACCTGCACGATGGACTGTCCAGCGTGAAGCCACAAGCTGACTTCCCGTCATCGTCATGGGAAACCAGTCTTCCGAGCACATAGCCACCACGTTTGCGTCCTCCAACCTTCTTTGACCAACGCCAATAGGCAGCGAGGGATCCAGGAAGAATCTGCTTGCACTCGTCTCTGCCAGGCTTGGTTTTGCGAGGGAGGGCACGACGGATTGTTTGTGAGGCACGCATTTCATTGATCACTCTCAAGGCTTGACAACGAAGTTCTTCTGCCAAGAGGTGGCTGTCCGTCACGGCCAGTGCACGGTCATCTGAGAAGAGATCTCCTGGAAAACGGGGCAACCTTCCGAACACAGCTTGGTAGGGACAGCGGCCTTTGGATGCTGTCGAGGCATTTAGTGCTTGAACGGCTGCCACAAGGATCCAATCCAGTCCAGCGCCGTTGACCACGGCGTTCTCGTCGATCAGCTTCTCCAGGGCGGTGCGCAAAATAGCGTTGCGCCGTTCCACAGTGCCAATCCTCCAATGGGCCTCGGGAGGAATCACAGGTACATGAACTCCAGCGTGTTCAAGTTGTAGTCGAAATTCACCTTCAAAAGCTCCGTCGGCATCCACTTCACAGACCAGCGGGTAGCCGTAGGGAGCTAGCCAGGCCCGACGGAACATCTCAAGGACGTGCTCTGCATTGCGGGACTGAACTCTCACAGCTTGCTGAAAGCTAGTGGCTAAGTCAACCATGCCCAGGATCATGTGGTTGGAGCCGGTCAGATCACGGACATACACTATGTCCAGTTGCACACGTTCTCCAAACTGCCCGAGGAATTGTGGGATCGAGGCTGGTCGTGGCGCATCAGCGTTGACGTGAACCACAAACCATGTGTTCGATTGCAGTCAGTGTTGCTGCGTTCACTGAGCCGTGAGCTGAGAGGAAGCGGATGAGCTCCTTCTTGTTGGCGTGACCGGTATTCAGGCGCAAGCGAGCCACGGATGCCTTGACAGCTGATGCAAGCTCTTTGGGCGCTCCTGGAAAGGTCACGTCAGTCCTCAGACCAGGAACTGGTAGTTGAGGATCTCCTTGATCGCCGGGATCAGGTTCTCCAGAAGGTTGTTCTTGGCGAGCTGGTAGGTCTTCGTCCACCAGTCCATAAAAGAAAATGGCTGCACTCACCACTTTGCTGAACCTTTGCTTGGGGAACTCGATCACGGCCAAATCTTCAGCTTCTAAGACCAGGCTCTCGTCAGCATGTAGTAGAGCGGCACCACGATGAGTGAAAGGGATGTCTCGGGGCATGCGTCTGGTCATAGGAGTCGAAGCTATCTGCACTCTTGTAAGCTCCCATGGTACCAGGGACTCCACACGCTTGAAAAGAGCTTGTCCGGGTTGTAGGACCAAAGAACGCACAGTTCCGCCAGTGAAGGTGTTCCTGACTTCGTTCAGGAGTTGTCTCCAGGCATCATGGTCGTCCACAGGTTGGGCAAAGCTAGCGAACACCTGTCAAGTTTCATCAAAACGGCCAGGAGAAAGAAGTTGCGCTGTCTTTCGTAGAGCTCGAAGGATGGCGTGCACCAAGTCATCAGGGTAGACCTGGGACGCTGTCACATTGGCTCCTTCGAGTGGCTTGCAAACTTGTCTTTCCTGAGGTGATAAGCGCCTGTCCAAGGCTCTTGCAATCTTGGGGCAGTTGAGCAGGAAGCCGTAGGTCTTGATGATGGGAAATCCGTCCAAATCAACGGCGCCAAATGCGCCGCCATCGCAGTTGACAAACTCGGTGTTGTCCACCTTATAGAGCTCTTTCACACAAGCTTCTTGCCAAAGACGACTTCTGAGGGGGTTCTCAAGGATGTAGTACCTCCCTGAAGCAGCTTGTTCTTGGCATAGTTTGCACACCCACTTGAGCGCTGGTCTCATCAGTGCTCTGCGTAGTTCAAGTTCCTCAGGACGCAGGGCATAGTTGCAGTTCTCGTTCATGATGCAGAACTCTGTGCAAGGGAAGCCAATCAAAAGAAGCAATGGCCTCATCCGTCGAAGGGCATCCAAGACAAAGCTTTCAACCTTCTTATCGCACAGGTCCTTCCCATCTGCAAGCTCATAGGGCTCCAAGGCGTTAAGTCCATACTTCTTGGCGAAGAGCGTGGCCTTGGCTGAACCAGCGAAGAGCTCGAAGACGTCCACATAGTGTGGCTTGTTCTTCTCGGAAGGTATGTCGTTGACAACCAACACCTCAGGCCAAAGTGCTTTGGTGGCCTTCTTCACTTCTCCCACCAATCGCTTTCGCTTCCCGGGGGCCAGCTGTAGATGCTGCCCGTCTCCTCCACCTCTGGTGCCTCCAGATCGATGGATGCCACATCGCAGTCCTGCATCTGGCTGGATGGCTTCATGTGTCCTGCCGCTGAAGAGGTCATCGAGGGTGGCCTTGACCTTGGTAAACCAGTCTTGCCCAAGGACCCTGCCACCGTAGTTGCCATCGAAGTTCCAGGGACCATCGAAACCGGTTGCATTGGTCCTGAAGTCATCATGGGAGCCGCTGCCTTTGGGCACAGAGCCTGCAGAGGTAGAGGAAGTTGAAGATGCTCGTAGCCCGGTGGTGGCAGCTGAAGGAACGTCTCTCCCGTGTACCCTGGAGGCTTGATGGAACCATCCACCGTCGTCAAGAAAGACGGTAGCGGCAGTGACAACTTGGAGGAGGAGCCATGCTGTTTCCAACCGCGGCCGTCCCACTTCCAGCGTGCCATGCGTGCCGTGCACGTTGCAAAGCTTCCGTGCCGGTTGCCGCGTCGCTTGAACGTTGGGTGTGGGCACTCGGTCTGGTTCTTGACGTGGTAGGCCTTGGCTGGAGTACTGCTTGATGCCGCTGCCGATGATGCTGTCTTTGATCTGGCAGCTGTGGACGCTTTGGCGCGTCTCTGAGGCATCTTCTCCTTGTTCTTGGGGTCGTCCGTGGTCTCGTCCTTGTCCGTGATGTTCTTGTAGTCCTTGGCGCTCAACACCCCCAGCCGCTTGGCCTGGTACACATGCACCACCGCTGCGCGAGCCAGGTGATGGAGCCGCCGGCATAGATGCTTCCAGCGCTGCCGCAACACCGGGTCGTAGACCTGTTCCATGTGAAGCGGAAGGTGGCTGGAGGATGTCGCCGTCGAGCGGGCTTGAGAGGAAAGAATCCGGTTGCGCATCTGCCTTCAATAGACAAACGTGTGCAATTTCTGGATCTGTGAAGCCGCTCTCAAACAGCTTGCTCCAAATGGACAAACGATGCGGACGTGGTGGAAAAACACAAATCTCAACTGCAAGGTGGCCACAAACACGTTTCAAAGGACATGTGACTCCGATCGTGCTGAAGTGAACGACACGTTGGTTGAGATCGATGATGGAACCCAGGCTATTGAGGATCTTCAAACTTCCAAGGAAGGGGATCTCGGAGGGCAACACGTTCACACCAAAACTCAAACAATGCTGCTCCAAACCGGCCGGGATCCAAGCTTTCTGGGTGGAGACCACTGGTTGACCTGATCCAAATTGAAAATGTTCATTGCTCTCTTCATAGAAAACCTTGAGGGAAAACTCTTTCAACAACTTCTCGTGACCATCCATCCACATTTGACCACAGCATGCTCTCTGGCAGGCGGTATCCATAATCATGTACCCGAAGGAGTCCTGAAATGATGTGGTCAAACATGAGAAGATGGGCGCAGTGCAGACCATGGCGAAGTGATGGTTGGGTGCAGTGTCATCGGGGATGTATTCGATGGTGGAATCAAAACCGGTGTTGTGGAAGACGGTCATCACCTTTTTGGCGTCGACGGCTCCACGGTCGTCACGGCCTTTGTGGCCTTTGCCTTTCCGCTTAGGGGCTGCAGAAGACGAACCACTCTGGTTCTGATTGAGTGGACACTCATCATCATTGGCCCAGTGGCCTTTGTTGCCACAGCCAGCGCAGATTGAATTGCGCTTCTTGTCAGCCAAGCTTCGTTTTGGCTGGCCAGAAAATTTTCTCCCCTGAGTCACTGCTGCCAGCTTTCGCGCTGTGACGGTGAGCACTTCAGCCAAATCATTCAAACCAAGGTCTTCTCCGGAGGGATCTTTCTCACCCAGCTCGTCGTCATCGCCAGGTACTTCATCCTGACCTTCTTGAGGCAAATCATCGCCTTCAGGGTCATCATTCGGCTCGGGCACTACGGCGCAGTTGAAGCATCTCGACCAGCCACCGGTGGTGGGGGTTTACGCTCTGGATACTGGATCATCAAGGCAGCCCTGATGGCATCGAAGGACAACGATTGGGAGGAGCCGACAAGTATCAGCCGTTGCTGGTCTAAACTCAAGCGGGCTCTGTCCAAAAGTCTCGAGCCGCGACTTTCGTCGTCATATGTCAATGACACATCTATTCCGACCGCTCGGAGAGATGCTTCAGTCCTCCGGTAGCGGTTGCAGTAGGAGCGCAAGCTCTCTGCCGGCAGGCGCCCCAATGTCTCGTACTCAAAGAGGTATTGCCTCTTAATGTACACGCTCGTCTTTTGTTGGAAAGAGGCCCGAAGGTGCTGCAGGATCGCGTCGACACCTTGCCGGTCGTAGATGGCTTCAGCTTCAAGAAATTCCAACTCTTGCTCAGCCTCTCCTCTAGGAGAGGTGTACAAGCTCAAGCCAATCTCCTTGTCGGTCATGAAGTGACGGGCATGCATCTGCCACAGTCGAACCTTCTTCTCGTACTTCTCGTAGGCGCGGATGTCCTTGACATCGTAAGACCATGCAGGAGGTGTCGGCGCAGCGCCACCACGGAACTTCACGCCCCGAGAGGGGCCCATGTTGCTTGTCCAAGACGGGGCAGAAGAGTCGTTACCACGGCCTCGACCTCAACGCTCGAGCAGATCAGCCAAGCGCTCCAAAGGGTCATTTGGTGGAGGGAGTGCACGTGGTCCTCCAAACTCTTGTCTCTCAGGGCCATCGCCAGCATTGTGACGGTCACCATGAGGGCCACGTCGTCCGGGTCCGTCAGGTTGTCCGGCAGGTTGAGCTCGGTCGGAAGGCATCCTTAGTGGTGTCCTGAGCGAGGTCACTGGTGTCACCTCAACAGCGGGGTCATGGGTCAGTGTCTCTGACTCAGCTTGCTCTTCACCATAGCCTTCTCCTTCTTCGGGATCGAAGTCAGGTTCAGGGTCAGGGGGACCGTGTCTTCGTCGTCTGGGGCGTCGTCGACGTCGATGCGAAAGTTGAGACTCCGGTGCCGGAGACTCCGGCATCCCGTGGGGAATGTACATCCACGTGCCAGTAGCGCCCTCATGTCGAGTGGGCTGTCGACTGTCAAAGAACTCGAAACCTCGGCATCGTGTGCAGCGCCAGGAGGAGACAACCAAGTCCCAAACTGAAGAGCTCGAACCACACCGTAGGCAGGTCCAACTGCTTGAAGTCACCGCGGGTGGAGTAGACGGCCTCGACATCGGTCGTGAAGTAGTCGCGTCACCACCATCAACCGATCCATCTTCCTCATCATCAAAGAGGAAGGAGTAGTCGGACGCACGGGGTTCTTGGGCTCTATCGTCAAGGTCCTCGAAGTCGAACATGGATCGTAGCTCCGCGTAACCAACTCGTGACCACGCGTGCGACCGAACGACCAAGGAGCAAAGAAGCTAACACAGCTTTTCCTCGAAGGCCTAAAGTGCCATGGGGTTGAAACAGTCGTAGACTCAAGGGATCCGCTATTGGATCGACGGGGCCAGGTGCAACAGACATGTGGTGGATGAACGGTGCGGCGTGAGGCCCAAAGCACTGTCGGGTCCATCAGAAAAAAGTTCACAACATGGACGCACACTACCTGATGATTGACCTATGCATCTCTTGGCAAACCATGCCCAAGGACGTTGGACAAGAGTCTATATAACTTGCAAAAACTGAAACATACTGTACTAGGTATATCTAATATAATTACGCGCTTGCACAAACGTAGTCATGCCTATAAGCCAAGACGTCATGGAATTGGAAGCACCTGCTGCACGTCAATCCCGCGAGCAAGAAGATCTGTGGAGATCAAAATGCGGGACGAACCAGAGCGGAATTCTCGCATGACCAAATCTCGCTCCTGGAGCAAGGGAAACAAAAGACTTCACTTTGCTAACAATGTGAGTGCAGTTTGACCAGACTGGGGAAACTGAAATGGATCAGGCGTTGTGCGCGGATACAGTATACGTGGTACGAATTGGCAACACCTATGACCTATATATGTAGCCTGAAGTCATCACTGCCGCGGATTAAAGATGGGTCTCAATCGCTGTTACAACCTCAAATCCGTAAAGGTGCGGTGCAAGCCTTGATGCTCGCACAACCCGTGCCATCCGGACCAACTGCTACAGTTCTTTGTCAATTATCTTCAAGCAAAACAGAGTAAACTGAGTAAACGCAACCAGTAGCTTGTGAATACACAATTTGAATCTAAAGTTGCCTCGAAAGTCGACAGAGTCGAAGAAAGTCGCCAGTCCTTCTGGTCTAGGTCCGCATGCATGCCTCAAATCGGAGCATGGATGTTGGAACTGTTCTTCGCACAATGTCTCTATATGTCTCTATGGTAACAGGCCACAAAACTACCAAGTCAGTCTCTCAGCAGTCTTGAGCTTCTCATGCTCATGCTAAACATTTCTGCGAACTTGAGTCTGGTTACCAGCTTGACTATTGCAACTCTCAGTCTGACTCTCCCTCTCCCTCTCTCTCTACAACACAAAGGGTTTCGATGGGTTTAGATTAATCATGATTAATCAATGCAGGTGCATGCAAGTGCTAAGATTTACTTTGAATATATAATCACCTCGTTTCATCTCGTTTCATTTTGAAGTCTTGAATTCGTTTTCGCTTCTCAGAGTTGAATCAAATGCTTCCATGCCACAGGAAACAGTGAAATCTCGCTTTGTCAGCTGGTCCTGCAGGAAGTCAACCTTGCGGCGAGTGTTGCCTTGGTGGACCATTTTAGTCACTGGAGACAATGTTTGGATGTGTTTGGCACATTAAAACTACTACAACTGCAGCAAGCGTGCAATAAATGATGGCTTGCGTGATGGTCAGTGTCTCGTAGAGATCGCAAAGAGTGTCGACTTTCCATTCCTGACTCCGACGACATCGACATTGCGAGACTGATGTGATTTCATCCCCTTCAACTGCATTTCATTCAAATTGAGCAGCTGGCCTCCTTTTCAATCGCCACATAGAACTGACGGATACCTTGCGGCTTGTCGCCACTGTCAAGCTCAGCTTGGCTCATCTGATCACTCATCTGAGTTCTGCGTGCATCACTGCATAACTTTACACCGCTTACTTATGATGTGTAATATGTAGTACGTAAATAACTTTTTTGCTTGTTCGTGTTTGCCTGCCTGCCTTTTGATCTGTACGGAATTACAAAGCCCTTGCGTGCCCAGTGAATAACTCTGAGTAGATTTCAACAAAGGCTCGGAGTTATCTTATGAGACTTATGAGTAACATTTTGTTCTGCACTAATAAGATGTGCGTGAACATCCTTGAGCCCCTTCAAAAACTATCCCCGCAAGAGACCCCAAGCAGTGGTGTGGTTAAAGAGGAGAGAAGAGAGTTTATGCGGTGTCTGCACTTCAAGCTCCTAAGTGCTGCGCCTGTCACGAAATCGGTCTACAGGTCTTGAGCCGGGTGGAGATCCAAGTCGAAAGATTTAGAGAGCCAGGTCTTGAGATCCAAAAAGATCAAACAGGTCTAGAGGTCTAGAGTAGAAGTCTTGAGAGCTCTGGAGGCCTAGAGGCCTGGAGGTCTAGAGCAAGGTCCACAAAGCAACTGCGCCTGCCATGAAATTCCACTTCAAGGTCAGTAACAATCTAGATGTCGAGCAACCTAATAACAGTCTAGATGCTGAGATCACTTGCTGCGCACGTGGCTGGACGCCTCTATTACGAGTCAGAGTTCCCTGCGTACTATGGTCTTGCTGCCAGAGTTCTCTGGCGAGAACGCCGCGGTCACTCACCTGTCGCGGCTACGTTTTTGCGACTCTGGTACAGTCGAATCCGCATAACTGGCTGAGATCAGTTGCTGCGCAAGTTACCGGCCAAAGTACAAATTCAGGTCTTACAGTCTTACACCACAAGCTGATCCACACGAAGTGTTGGCATCTGAGTCGCCAACTACGAATGAAAGTTTACCGAACCGCCCCTACGTGGCTGGCAAGTTGCTCTCAAAGGCGCGCAGTTGGTGGTAGATTAATGTGATGCACGGCACTACACTCAAGAAAACCGATCAGCGTACCACCTGCAGATTCATGAGTAGGTGGCACATTATGGACAAGGTGTCGTCTTCACAGACTAAAGTTGCAAGAGCCGACCGTACTCAAACCCTGCTACATACACGGTTGGAGCTTGTGAGGGCTCGATGGGTGGTTGTGATGGTGATGGTAGTGGTGATGGTGGCGTTTATGCTGTGTCTATACTTCAAACTCCTAAGCGCCACACCTGCCACGAAATCCAAGTCGAGAGATCTAGAGATCCAGGTTTTGAAATCAATAAGGTCTAGACGGTCTAGAGATCTAAAGTTCCAGAAGTTTCGAGGTGTAGGCTTAGAGTTGTATATGCATAAGAGGTCTAGATGTCTAAAGTACGAGAAGTCTTGAGAGGTCTAAGAGGTCTAGAGACCGATATACAGGAACCTGACAAAGTCATCGCTCAGTCATCCCTGGTAACTGTTTCAATGCCAAATCACCATGGCATTTCCAAAAAGTCATCCCCCAGTCACCCCCGGGAGCCAACCCCAATGGAACGCTGATACCCAAAAAGGTTTGCCAAATACGACCCAAAGAGTGCAAACACCAATGGGACGCTAGTTCTGAAAGAGTGTGTTTGATTGATTTACATCCGCTTCCTGCGTGTCAATCGCAATGGAACGCTGTAAAAAATCTGCCACCAACTTTAGACACATCAGGTGACTCGGTCGATTTGAGGCGACGGAGGTGGACAAAAGGTAGAGGGTTGGAAGATTCTGAGCAGGAGCAAAGCAGCCAGCAGCAGCAGCAGCAGCAAACCAGCAAACATCTGGCAGCAACACACTGCAAGGAGGGCACCTCTTCTTATATTGGAAATGAGAACCCCACTAGCTCTCCCAGTAGCTCTCGCTATCTTGGCGTAATCTGTCCAAGTCCACAGGTGTTCCATGGCGAACTGTACTGGCAACTGGAAATGACTGTGTTGCTTCCTGGACTTGTGGACTGCTTGCAGGACCCACTACAGAATAAAAAACTCATTGCTTCAGCAGGCATTCTTAACCCCTATGAGTTGCCAGTACAGCGTTGGAACACCTTTCGATGAGAGCCCCAGCGTGCGACCCAAAAGTAGGTCCCTTTCCAACCAACAGAGTTTGCCTGTGATTGGGAAAAAGAGACGACTTTCCGCAGAGCCTTCCCCCCAAGGCAGGGTTCAAAAAAGGTGACGACATTGTCTTTTGCCTGTAGAGGTCCAGAGCAGTGGGGATGTGGCTATGGGTCAAAATTCGGGTATGGACCGTTCCGCGGTGATCCGAACGTATGGAACGAAGGGGTTACGTAAAAACTCTTGTTCCGTACCTCTGCAGGAGCCTCTGCAAATCGCGACATAATTGTACACGTATGATAAACACACACTGCCAGCGTCATCTTTTGAGGAGTCGGAGCTGTCACTAACAAAGCTAGAAGTTTCATTGAGTTGCTGTCTACGAATAAAGAGTGTAGGAGTTCAGGTGCGGAGTTGTTGAGCTGTGGCCGTGCCAGGTATGGATCGTGGTATGGAACGGTATGGAACGAGCGTTGGAACGAAGCTGCGTGCAGTTTCTGGGTTCAGTGGAACATACTTGGGCCTGGACTACGTAGAATGCATTAGAGTCGATAAAGAAGCACTGTATACGAACACGCCAAGCGTAATTAGGCCTAATTATAGGCGGCCAACATTAGCAGACCATCGGCGTCGCTACCAGAGCTGCCAGCTTGGAAAGGAAAGAGAAAGAGAAAGGGAAAGGGATTGGGAAAGAGACAGAGACAGCGAGGAAAGGAAAAGAGAAACGAAATAGAGCGAGAGAAAGAAAGAGCGAAAGCGAAAGCCAAAGCATGAAAGCCAGAGACAACCGGCTGCCGCACCGTTCTGCCTTCGTCCTATCCATCCTGTTCCTTCCTCTTCTTCTTCCCCCTCTTCCCTTCGGGTCGGCCGGTGCCCGGCTGCCAGGCGTAAGCCTTTATATCCGCCGACCCCGGCCTATAGCCAAAGCCTAGGCGGGGAGGCGCCTGGGACACCGCAGGGTGAAGCAGTTGGCCAAGCCTAGCAGAACCCTTCAAGCACTTCCAAAGGCGCAGGATGCAGCAGTTGGCCAAGCCTAGCAGAACCCTTCCGAGCACTTCCAAAGGCCTGTCCGAGGCCTCACCAGCTGGCCGGCCTGTTGCGGCCTCTCTGTGGCCTGTCCGAAGCCTGCCTCCTCTCTTCTTATGGGCTTCGAAGGCGACGTTTAGGCATTTTGGGCCGCCTTCAAAAGCTTTTCGGCCTCTTGCGGCCTCTCTGTGGCCTGTCCGAAGCTTCTCGGCAGCCGGCAGGCCTCTTGCGGCCTCTCTGTGGCCTGTCCGAAGCCTGCCTCCTCTCTTCTTATGGGCTTCCGAAGGCAACGTGAGGCATTTTGGACCGGCTTCAACAGCCTCTCGGCAGCCGGCAGGCCTCTTGCGGCCTCTCTGTGGCCTGTCCGAAGCCTGCCTCCTCTCTTCTTATGGGCTTCCGAAGGCAACGTTAGGCATTTTGGTCAAAAGCCTCTCGGCAGCCGGCAGGCCTCTTGCGGCCTCTCTGTGGCCTGTCCGAAGCCTGCCTCCTCTCTTCTTATGGGCTTCCGAAGGCAACGTTAGGCATTTTGGCTCGGCTTCAAACGCTCCCCAGCCTGTCCGAAGCCTGCCTCCTCTCTTCTTATGGGCTTCCGAAGGCAACGTTAGGCATTTTGGACCGGCTTCAAACAAAAGCCTCTCGGCAGCCGGCAGGCCTCTTGCGGCCTCTCTGTGGCCTGTCCGAAGCCTGCCTCCTCTCTTCTTATGGGCTTCCGAAGGCAACGTTAGGCATT